ACCTTGAACCAAATTTGTAGTTATTAATGTAAAATATTGATGTCAAACTGATAGAAACTCGAGCACCACTGAGACACCAGAGCACTGTGAACCCCCAGCTGGCAGCTGAAGAAGGGATACAAGCTTCCAGTGCTGCTACAGAAATGTAACTGAGAGCGAGCATGGCAGGCCTAGGGCTGTGGATATATCACTAGGGCTGATGCAGCAGCACTCCTGCATAAATATATTCCTGGAGACCTTACAGATAAACTCTGAGCTGATCCCTTACAGTAGTAATATCTACAAAACCATTCATATCACTACAAGGTATGTAACCACAACAGCTCTGTGGAACTGTAAAGTAAAAACCAGTATAATTTTAGTTTAGTTTTTTTTTTTTAAACATGCAATACAATATTGGGAGAAGCTTTTAACTAGTGTCAGGTAAAATGTGCACTTACAGCTTCTCCAGGCTATGGCAATACAGTGTCATAAAAATGATGCCAGCTGTGGCTGTAGACCCTCCAGGACTTCAGTTTTAGCATCTGTCCCAAACTTTAAGTAAAAAGATGGTGCAGTAGATGGGTTTTTTCTTTTGCTTCTAGTTTATTTATTTCTGTTTTATTAAAATGTTATTATATATTTAATTTTATTATATGTTTAATATTCTTTATTAGAAAACACAATAGAATTTCCGTGTACACCTGACCATAGCATTAGATCTCTAGAGATAGATTTAAGGACATTGAAAGGCCACCAGAGAGGGAATTAAAAATACATAATCTCCATAAATCACAGTGGGATAAAAGGCAGTGAATTTTGCATGTATCTAAGAGGAGTTTTATACTCTCAGTAGAAGACTCAATGTTTGTGGATTAATTGTAATCACCCAACATCATCATCCTCTTGTGAAACTTCAGCTACCCAGTCTGTCCTGTGTGACTCAGCATTGCATTGAAAAAATTATTTGTGAATATGAACCACCTTAGCAAAACTGTGAAAATTCTCTCTTCTCTAGTATCTTGGGAAGATCTTCCATTGTGTAGAATGCTATTAAATGGTTTTATTAAGCTGTATAATTTTTGTATGGGTTTAAATTCTTCCTCCATACATCTCATCTGGTTATATATATTTTTTATTTACTGTATTGGCTATAATGAGAGGTCAGGAATTAAAGGATTGTGCTGCACATAAATGAAATGCAATGGATCTACACTGTGTGCTGCCACCCTGAACATGCACTAAAGGTGAGGGCTGAAGCTTTTATGTTTTTACATCTTCCTTGTGACAGTAAGTTAAAAAAGCTCATGTCCCAGATTTTTAACTGTCTAACTGTAGAGATTTCAGTTTCAGCAGACCATGATAGAATACAACAAATCTGCTGCAGCAGTGATGCCTCTGTCCAGTAGGAGAAACCCAAGTTGTTCGTGAATGCCCCCTTAAGAGGTTTAGGCCTATAAAATAAATCTTTATTCATCTTACCTCAGTTTACCATACAAATAATTTTGACAAGTATTTTTCAGATTTTTGGTGGACTATTACCATAAAAGGAAATTCATACTATCAATTCTTCTATCACTTCCTAGAGCATAAATCAATCTGTATCTAACGTGCTTTATGGAGTTACCGTGGATACAGAATCTGGCCTTTTATCCCTTTGGAAAGTAACAGTTCAATTGGAGGGGTGTAGTGGGTATAATTACTTCAAGACCTCCACTGACATTTTATAGGACACTTCAGTTATTTCATAGCAGTAAATTCATAGCTGGGTCTCTATGCCACCCTATGTGCAAGTCCATGTAAAAGAAATAAAAGAGCACAAATACTGTTCATTTAAAAATACAGGAAAGAAAAGGAAATATTGCAAAACAGAAAAGAAAAAATTACAAATAATCTGGAAAGGAAATATGATCAAATGAAATGCAACTGAAAAAAACCCAAAAACAAAGAACTGGCATATTGAATGATAACACAAAAATTGTTAGGGAGGAAATGAGGTGCAGTACAAAGGACAAAAATATTCCAAAACTAATTTAATTGATGCTGAAAAAGAACAGAAAAAATCAAGGAGGAAGACACAATTTAGAGGGAAAGATATGAGAGATTTTGCACCATCTCTGAGGTAAGTTCTGGCATGTTTTGGCCCTTTGCACTGCACCTGATGTAATCCTGGTCCATTTTCTTGTAGTCACTAAATTTCCCAAATTTTTTTTTTTCAGTATCCATGCCATGGCTCTCATATCTTCCCCTCAAAGTTGTGTCTTCCTCCTTGATGTTTTTCTCCTGCTTTTTCAGCATCACTGAGGTTAGTTTTGGCATGTTTTGCTCCTTTGCACTGCACCTAATTTCCTCCCAGACCATTTTCTTGTAGTCAATGTCCCAATTTTTGGGGGTTTTTTGGGATTTTTTTCAGGTGCATTTCTTTTGATGGATTTTCTTGTAGTCAGTCAATGTCCCAATTTTCGGGGGTTTTTTGGGATTTTTTTCAGGTGCATTTCTTTTGATGGTATCTCCCTTCCAGAGCGTTTGGAAGGCTTTCTTTCCTGGGACACAATATTTTTTTTTCCCCTTCCTGAGAGGAAGTGAAAATTCCTTTCCTTTCTGGACATGTGATTTCATCACATGAAATATGACTGAATGAAACAAAAATTGGCAAATTTATTTTACACCAAAAGATGGTCTGGGATGCAATCAGATGCAGTTCTGTTGACTAAAACATGCCAGAACTAACCTCCCATATGCTGCAAAATCTGTCTTCATGGAAACCAAAGGGTTGATTTTTGAGGAGCGGCTGCTGTGCTGCATGGGAAGGCTGATAAGTACTGAGGAGGAACTAGTCCTGAGAACTAACCTCCCATATGTTGCAAAATCTGCAGAAATAGTCAAAGATGCGGTCAGAATTTTTAGGGTGTTATAGGAGAGCAATGGCATGGATACTGGAAAAAAATAGAAAACAGCCTTCACCCAAGTGAAAGCTTTCGAAAGGATTGTGATGCCATGAAATGCAGGCATATGGATCAAAATTCACAAAAATTGATCCCTATTGGAATCAAGGTTTTCGTTTTATAAGTGGTATGGTATCCTTTATCAGGTAGTCCTGCTGTGCACTTCATTACCAGAAGCAGTGGCTGTGGATTTTGCTAGCTTGTGGATATGAAATGACAGTAGTTATAATAAGCAACAAAAACAAACTAGCGAGAGGTAACCTGCAACTGGAGGTGAGTCAATGTTGTTGTGTTGCATTTATTCGCAGCTGCTTGTGAGACACTGGGACTTTGTCTTCATGGAAATCAAAGGGTTGATTTTTGAGGAGCGGCTTCTGTGCTGCATGGGAAGGCTGATAAGTACTGAGGAGGAACTAGTCCTGCCCAGTCCTGGTGATGGGAGTTTTGAAGGCTGCAGGGAGGTCTGGTGTCCTCAGTGCTGGGAGCAGGAGGTCTCTCTGCTGCCCAGGCAGCAGCCAGAGCAAGGCTGTTTTACTTCTCCAACAAATTCCAGTTATCCCTTTTAGTTTGCATGCAGAATTAATTACCTGTCCTTCCACACAGATGGCTTCAAAATAGAACACAGTACTCAGCTTTCATTTAAAGCTCCTTTCATACCAAAGCAGTGGCTGGCAAGACCCTGTACAACAAAGTAATATCAGCTAAGGCTCCAGTTAGAGAAGCTGAATTGGAAAAATTTATCTGGAAGCTGTCCTCCAAAAGCTACATCTCAAGGTTACCACCAGCCTGTGGATATGGAACAGAACAGGGGGCATGAAACCCAGCTCCCTGGGGTACAGTTTTCTTTCATGCTTGTGTACAAGCAGAAAATGGATGAATAAACCACACTGTTTTACATTTAAATATATGAAAACACTTTTTTGTGAAGACATTCCACCTCATTCTTCATTTCATCAGTTTCTAGTTTCATATTACTGAACAGATCACTGGGGGGTTTTTTTGTTAAAGCAACTGTGATATTTCATGAAAACTTTGGCAACGTGAGGCACTGACTTTCTTACACAAATAAATGCATTTTATACAACCTACCAAGTGTACTGACTGCTGCTTATGCCCTTACCACTAACCTCAGCACATAAGGTCTGTAAAGTGTTTGAAGTGTACAGCAGACATTTACCAGCTTCAGAGAAAGGCTGCCTTTTCTTGAAGAACTCACAGGAGAACCATTCAGACATATTGCCCTTCAATATTAATGGCACCTTCTCTCTTTGTACACTGTAAAAAAATCAATTTGGTCGCTTGAGGGATAAGAAGTCAATTCTGTTTACTCAAGTTATTTATGGATTTAAATCCCTCATGCCTTAAGGGACGAACATTCCTACCATTATTAGCATTACAGAAACACGGGTACTGAAAGAGAGTACTAGGCACTTTATTCATATCTTTCTTACAATGAAGGAACATGGCCTAGATTTGAATCTTTCTATCTAAAAAGACGATCCACTTTGACAGGTGAAGAGACTTTTTTTTTTTTAATGAGAAGAAATTTAATGTTTACTTTTTTGTCTAATTGTTAATTTTTGCAATTCACCTCTCCTCGGACATTGTCCAGTCATGAAAACTTTTATTATTAGTTAATTTTTTAAGAGTTCTGAAAATATTGTCTTCACTGAAGGAGGAAAGTATTTCTTCTAAAACAAACTCTTTAGTGAGCCATACAACAAACACTTGGGAACATTTCAGCAAGCCTTACATCTTACTAAAGCAATAGTGAGTTTGTCTCTTTTAACCTACTCTTAACTCACATAACAGAACCCTGTTCTGTTTAAACATTTTCCAATTCCAGCATCTACAAAGGAAGGAGAGAAGGCCAGTTTTAGTCCAAAAGCAGTATCCTGACTTCCAGAGTGCCACTGCAACAATCCCATCTCAAGAATTTGTGTTTCTTACAAAGAATTATCCTCCCTCCTGTAAAGAGGAAAAGCCATGGCTGATAACCAAGCAGAGCTCCACAAAGGGCTTCTACATCACAAAAGAACATAAGCCACAGGACTTTTCCCCAGTCTTAATACTTACATAACAAATGTCTGAACTGCACATGACTTCTCTCTGCTGCCTCTGATCACCGGACTTCCCTCTTAATTCCTTCTAGCTCCCTTGTGGCTTCAGTTCAAGCTTTTCCAATCTTTGCAAGGCAAAGACAGAGAGAGGAAGCCAGTGTGCATACTGCATCAGTACAGACTATTCTCTCAGCTATCACATATTCACACAGTAAAGTGAAAGTTAGCTCAAGAATCAATGTTTGATTAATTCTGCCAAGCAGACTAATTCAGCCTCAAGTCAGTAACTCAACATAAGATTTTTTTATCCTCCAGAAAATAACTGACTGCAATAGCTTATTTTCCAGAGTGCTACAGAAGAAAATGTATTTGCATATTTCAGCTCATTTCACCCATACATCAACATGTAATGATTCTAAAATTACATGAATGCCACCTCATTTCAGCTGTACAGCAGAAAGGGCACAGGTTAAAAACCACTGTTATACTTCAGCTAACTTTATTTTTCAAACTTCAGCTTTTTCTCATTTGAGGCAAAGACATCAAAAGTAACTCTAAGGACTGGAGAACCTGCAGCATGACATTGATCATATTAAGGATTTTTTCTAGTGTAAGTGATTCCCTGATATATGTCTCATATTCATTAACTGTGTCTCAACTTCACTGACCTCATCTGAGTTTATGTGATATACCCACATTGCAAGATGAGAGAACAAAAATTTTTCTATTTCATACAACTATTACTTGCATCTCTAAAGCCTTTAAAGGGTGCTTCCATTGGCTCAGCAATTAAGAAAATACATTTCTTTTACTTATCCTTGGATCTGTTATTTCTGAAGATCAAAAGATAATGTTGTGCTTCTTTGATGATTGAAAATGTTTGATAGCATTTAATACATTTAAGTAGCATGATTCGTAAAATACCAAGCAAAGTTCTTATATCTTAACTAGCTCAGAACATGATTTGTGTAATAGGCACAGTCATTATGAAACAGTGTCTCTGGCCTATCACTGAAGCAATTTCACCAGAGGGCTGATGGCAGCCTTTCTCACAGACAGGGCACATACACTCTCTCTCACATACTCTACCCAGCCAAGGGTACAGCCCTGTTAGAGGGTACTGTATGTGAGAGATCTGCCTTCAACCGTGTGGGTCAGGCTCAACCAAAGGCACAGGCTGCCCCTCCACACATAAACTGTGCAAAGCCTCATTGCTCTGGGACACCAGGGGTGACACTGACAAGCACAGCCATGGGACAGGCCATTATGGTTCTGCAGATATAGACAAAAGCAAACAGCATTTACCTGTCAATACTACCAGCCATGGGCAAAAATAACGGTGTGGTTGTTGGACGTCATTTCATACCCATGACTATAAGCACGACATCTCAGACAAAGTAACTCCCAGTGCAGAGCTGATGTGGCAAGACTGCTGGTGTAAGGTGAGAACTGGAGCTCTCTAGCTCTTCAGAGGAAGGGAAGTTTTACGGGACAAGTCATCCTCACACAGGTAAATCTTCCCTCCTTGATGGAAATACCAGTTCCTCTAGCTAGCCCTGATATTTCTGCAGCCAGCCACACTTCTGTCTATCTTCTGAAGCTGCCCGTTCACAGCTGAAGAAATGGCCTGGCATACAAAGGCCTGAGATACGAGTTCATTTTGAGTATGGAAAGAAACACCATGAGACAGGAACTACTTCTGATTATTCCCAAGGAGACCATGACAGGAAAGAGTAAACCAAAGGTGAATGGCTGTGCAGGTGATCAGTGTCTCCACACGTTAGTGTCCTTTTTCTAAAGCTCCCACTTCTTTAATGGTGATTAAAGGTTACTCTTTTCTCAACTTTATGATTAAATGTTTTATCTAAGAAATTAATATGCTAAATTGGAACTTCCTATAGCTCATTCCTTGGGGGTATATATAATAATGCAGATATGAACTGAACATAAATTACACATTTTGCATTTCCACAGAAAAACAGGGACTGAGAGCCAGGCTTTCCTTGTTCTAGTAACTGACTACTTTTAAGAATCTGGTCTAAAATATGTACTTTTTTCCCCCCATAAGCAAAATTTAAAAGCTTCAGTTAAATCAATTTTAATAGAAAATTAATTTATGCTATTAAAAGGCTAACTGCAGATAGTTCTGTGCCAATATATTTTTTCTAGTTGTCAGTTAACTGTTGCAACAGCACACCCCAAGGATTGTGTTCATGTGAGATAACACTTATGTCAGGTCACTGACAATTGGTTCATGACAGACCTTTGAGCTGCCAATATATTTTTTCTAGTTGTCGGTTAAGTGTTGCAACAGCACACCCCAAGAATTGTGTTCGTGTGAGATAACACGTCAGGTCACTGACAATTGGTTCATGACAGACCTTTGAGGTTTGGCTTATCTCAGCATAACCTGCAATTTCAAGGAATCTTACTGCTAAATTCTAATTCATTTTTAACCTAGAGATCATTCTCTTAAGCATTAAGGTTTAAATTTTAAAGCTTTACATACTACAGAATATGAAAAAACACAGCCAAGGCAATTCCAAGGTCATAGAACCATAGAATATCCTGAGTTGGAAGGGAAACTCAATGACCTGCAAATTCAACTTCTGCCCCTGCACAGAACAACCCCAAGAGTCACGCCATGTGCCCAAAAGCATTGTCCAAACACTTCTTGAACTCTGTCAGGCTGGTGCTGTGATCAGTTCTGCTGGGGAGCCTCTTCCAGTGCCCAACCATCCTCTGGGTGAAGAACCTTTTTATAATATGCAACCTAAACCTCCTGACACAGCTTCCAGGCCATTCCCTGGGGTTCTGTCACTGAGAAGAGATGTGCCTGCCCCTCCTCATCCCCTCACGAGGAAGCCATAGACTGCAATGAGGTGTCCTCTCAGGATGGTCACAGTATTAAAATATCAGCGAGCCTGAGTTTAGCTCTGTCTACCTCACATACACACAAAAAATTATCTATGTAAAAATGGCTTACCTTTAGATTATTAGTTGTGGTTGTTCTAAGTTTCTGAATTGAGACTAATATTCAAAAAGGTGCAGGGGAAAATCTGCAGAAGAAAATCCAAACACAGAGATGCTTATGGGAGGAAATATCTTCTATAAAATGCCATCACTTTGGGACTCTCAGCATCAGAAGTGGCATTAAATGCTATATAATTAACTTGTTAACATGCTTTAATTGCTTCTTTTGTATCAATAAATGACATCTTTTGCTCACATTCTAGATGTGTTGTGGTTTCTATGAACTCTCTTGGATTCAGAGAGTCAGAGGGAATAGCAACTCTTATCACTGGTAACCATAATAGTCACCAATTCAAGATTTATGAATAACATCTTATGAGACTAAGCGGGCCCAGAAGGGCAGCTTGCAAAGTCAGGAGAGGAGATGTTTGGGATATTCTACTGGAATCCACTCCTGCACACCTGAAAATAACATTTCTTTCTTTTCACATAAGTGAGGAAGGCAGAGAAACTGTTTCTGTAGTCTTGCACTGCCTGCCCAGCAGTTCTAAAGAACAAAGACTTCAGGTACTAAAGTGTATTAATGATCTGAAAAATATAAAGATCAAAAAAAAAGCTAAATAACCCAAATCTGTAATTAAGCCTTTTCTTGAGCTAGCACAGTGGGGTTTTTTTTAATTATGAAGAGCTGCAAAAATGAGTGTCTTGGGCAGGTAGGAGGAAGAACACTGGCTGCACCAAGGCAGGCAGCAGTGCTGATGAGTTTGGTGAGAAGTGTGGGCAGAGCTCCGCCATGCACACAGGAGATGGCTGCAGTACTGACACAGCCTGTGAACAGAAGCTTTTTCCTCCTTAGAACACCACTGACTCAGGACAACATACTCAAGTATAAGTTTTCAGTTCAAGTATAATTTTCCAAACTAATGAGAACCTAGAGTCTAAAATGCCAAGTCCCCCTCACCTCTGCTGGGGGTTAGAAATACACTGAGTAATTAAGGGGAGAAATATTCTTTTTACTTTCCCTCTCCTCCATCAGAGATACACAACAGTCAGTAAAGCATATGCTCTCCCCTCTGTGACATGAACAGAGTAGCCTGGCCCTGTGAAGGCCTATTTTAAGTCAGGCTATGTCAGTTCCAGGGTACATTGCACTGGATGAGAAATTGGAAATGGTTGTATGAAGCTGAGGGACACCAATGCCTTACAGAGCTCTCAGAGCACTCCAGAGGCTTGTTTTCTAGCAGAATAATTTATTTTCTCTAAATTATGAGAAAGGATGGACTATGAGGGTAGAGAGAAATGGGGTCACTTTAATCAGTGGCAGGTGGCTTTTAATAATTTCGGTAAGCACAGTTACAAAAATAAGAGAAGATCAGAGACAGAAACTGGGAAATCACATGCAGTCTTTGGAGATGACAGAAAGGAGATAAAAGATCATTCTAGGGAAGATAGAAAACAGCCATCCAAGTTACCTCCAAAGAGGAAAAATTCTTAAGTATGTGGAGCTATTCAGTCTTGAGACAAAACCACAATATATCCTAAGGACATCAATGGAAGACATGCCAAGAGCTGAAGGATAGAAAGTCCCCTAAAATAATGACTAAATGTTACTCTTTATTCTGTGCTTTGCCACCTCATTCAGCAAACAAAAAATTAATGCCTTTTAGGACCACTGCTATTTGTATCCTCTGTTTCACTTCACATTTTGTTTATTGTCTGTAGAAAAATTGTGTTGTTTTTTTCCCCCATGCCCTTTCATAATTTCTCTATTCTGCATATTTTTTCTGCAGCAGTTACATCATCAATACCACCTATGATGCTGATGAAAGTGAAGGAAAATGTTTCTGGGATCACTGTGAATGTTTAAGGTTAGATGTGGAAGATAAGCTTCCAGCAGCATCAACAGAAAGAAATTGGTGCCTTGGAAGAGTCATTCATCTCCTCTTAAGGTGGGTATGTGGGGCACAGGGCATAACACCTTTGGAAGGTACCTTTCTCCCCCCATGGACTGTAGGGAGTTCCAAGCTCAGGCAGCTGGTTTTGACAAGACATTTGAGTTATAAATCCAATTAATTAATTCTCCTTCAATACGCAAAAGCTTTACTGGCTAATGAAAAACATGTAGTGAAAAAAGCCCTGTATACTGTGCCTATATATAGATTTATTATGCATTAGAAGGATATTGGTGTGGAAATTTAGATTTTGGAGGATCTTTGGTCCATATAAAGATCTCAGCAGGGACAAAGCCCTGTTGACACACCCAGTAAGGAAAAAATATGCAGGGTCCAGGAAGAAAGATCACTGAACATGGTTGAGAAAAACATTTACCAGTTACCCTTTGGAAACTGGCTTGTAAAAACCTTGATTAAGGGGTCAGTGATGTGTGGGATATTATTGCAGAGGCATGGTTTAGCTTATCATACAATGCTGCTTGCTATTCATTTCCTCTCAGAGAGACTTGGTTTGCTATAGAGGATTTGAAAATTCTCAGTGAGTTTTCCAAGACCAAAATTTACTGCTGCTTACTGTGAGGATAGGACTGAGCCTGCATGCTTGTGTGGCTACCACACACTGCAAATAAGTCTCTGGATTCTGAGATTTGGTCCTTATAAGGACTGCTCACCCCTCTTGACAACAATTATAACATCACTAGCCTAAGAAATAGAAGACAAATTGATAATGGTGTGCTTTTCATATAAGCAGATAATCAACACAAACTTTAAACTGGTTTTTTTTGTTTGTTTGTTTGGTTTTTTTTTGTATGGAACCTCGAAGTGGCAGATAATAAAGACAAACTTTAAACTGGTTGGTGGTTTTTAGGTTTTTTTTGTATGGAACCTCAAAGTCATTTGATGAAAAAATAAATTAAAGCAGGAGTAGTGAGTTTAAATGTAATGGAACCTCGAAGTCATTTGATGAAAAAATAAATTAAAGCAGGAGTAGTGAGTTTAAATATAATCAAATGGCAAGCAGGAGGACTTAGCTACTGCACTCCACCTGGAGTACAGATAAGTACATATTTCTTGTCTGGTCAAGCACGATTAAAACGGAAGATCTTTTCTGTAAAATCCCCAAGTCAACCAATTAATCATTGGCCTGTGCATATAAGGTGAATTACTTGGACAAACAGAAAAACTATCCCAAAGACAAGTGAAAAATTACAAAGTTGTCAGAACTTTTGATTATTAAAAAAGAAAGCATGTTGGTGCACTTTTATCTGTGAATAAATTCTGCTGTAAATGCAAAATAGTTCTGAAGGATCTTGTCATATAAATATATACTGAGGATCCTGACTGATGGAAGAGTTTTAGCATACAAATGATAGACATGACTTTTTTTTATTTTTGCTTGAAAACACAATACTTCACCTCTAACCATCTTAAAATCCTTACAACTTCAAAATAAATGAAACAATTTCAGACACAAATACATGAATTTAAAATGCATTTATATACTGCAGCAGTTTTCACCTAGATAGAATAATCTGTATCATTTGATAATGAAAATTTCCTCATGTAAAATAGGAGTGAGACAAACTTTAGAAGGACTGTGAGTTGTAAACCTTTAGATTTCAAACACATACATAAGAAATCAGGAGTAGATATAAAAACAGCATTAAAATCTTATAGTTAAAACTAATCCAATCTATTTCTAGATCAGTACTAAACACAAATCACAAGAGATGCACACTCCCCTTCCAGAATATCAGACAATCCAACCATAATTTCAGTCCCAAAAGAGGTACCCACAAGATGGCCACTCTCCCTGTGCAACCTATATAAAGCAATATACATTTAGAGCAGAGTAGTTCATTACTCATAGTTTTCATTAATATGCTTATTTTCTGACTTTACCTGACATCACAAAAAACATTCTGTTTCAGGTACCTGATGCCTGGGCTGGTTAAACTACATATCTTATTGGTTTGTTTAAAGAAAAGACGGCAGAAGATAGTTGCTTTTATTTCTGTTTTTCTCAGTCAAAAACTGAGCTTGATGAAATTAGTAAATAGAAAATACTGGGTTTAGTGTAATTTAAAAAGAAAAACTTGGAAAATTTAAAACAAGCTTCAGGTTTTGAAAAAGAGAGCTATAAATGTCACAACCTTATATAAATCTTAGTGGCATACAAGCTGCTTGAAAATGAAATTCAGTAGCACATCTTCCTCAGCTGCACATGCCCACGGTAACAATCGATCCTGAAAGGTAGCAGTGGGACAATGGAAAAACTTCAGAAATTCACTGCTTTATGTTTCAGAGCCAGAAGCTCTGAGAAAAATTCCAGACTCAGGCTACACTGTTGTTTTAACTCTTTGGCAGACAATTAAGTGTGAGTCTGTGCCCTTCCCAAATGCAGGGGTTAATGGAGCCCTTTCCCTGTGGCTTATAATTGCTCTCCTGTTGATGTTAATGGGAAACCCTGCAAGGATTTCCTTCTCTCTGAGCAGAGTACCTCTGGGCTTCCACACAGGTCCATGAGTATGATTCATCAACAAGGGCTGTGCCTAGCACTAATGAAGAGGGGAAAAAGAGAAAAGGTTTCAAGATGCTTTCCCATAGTTCCTTGTCCATCAATTCTCATCTACTATCCATGAGCTGGCCACTAACCCTCCAGCTCTGTCTTTGCCTGAGCCACAAAGAAATCCAGGGGCTTGTTATACTTTAGAAGAGCTTACATATAGGGGTAGGAAAATAATTGCCCTCCAGAGTAAAAAAGGGTAAGAGAGAGATACAATTTTCTGAAATGGAATAAAATACAACACCTCCAACTAATATACTCATCATGTTGTTGAAGGACTAACAAGAAGGACAAGTTGAAGGACTAACAAGTACACCCATAAATGTAGGTCTTTTCCTGCTGGAACACAGGTTCAGATTTTCATGTCCACAATGACTAGAACCAGTATAAACTAAGTTTCATCTTCTTAGAGAAGCATATTTCCCTCCTAATAATCATACAGGAACAAATATTGTATCTGTAGAGTAGAATACCAGTCTGGGATAAACTAGAGAAGTTGGGTTTGCTTTCCTTTTGGAATACAGATTCATCAGAAAGGACTTGCCATCCTACTAACCCTTTCATGCTC